GGGACCCGGGGCGGGCAGAAGGCTCTCAGTCTGTTTAAACTTCCTTGTTGATCTTCCTCGCCGCGAGAGACGCCCAGCCGGCTTGGCTGGCTCCTGGCTTCCTGGAGCTCTCCTGTGCCGTGTGGGGGTTGTCTGTGTTGCTCAGATAGGGTAACGGAGTATAACTGCCTACAGGAAACTGCCACCTCAAAAGTGACTGCACTTACTGTAGGTCAGAGAACCCTGTCTTCTATGCTTTGAGAAGCTTATTGCCTTTCTTAGCTTTCATCAGCTCAGCTAATAACGAGACCCCCTGATGTAAATGGCGTTCTGAGCAGAAGTTGTGGCCTGCTCGCTGTGTGGGTTAACTCCAACCATACAGACCCGATTAACTATGCCAGCAAGGCCAGCTGCTGGCATGTGAGTTAAACCAGTAGTAACTGCCACAGCTACGCTTTCCTGTCTGGTGTCTGTGACAACTGGTGGGATTCAAAGGAATTTTGTGGACCTTGTGGGTTAAGATCTCATCCTCAGACCGTTACGTCAGTTTTCACTGCCATCCTGAGGTAGCTTTCCCTGGTAACGGGGATGGGTTTATATCCCTTCTTGTGCTGCGTCACAAGGCTGAGGTAGCACAATACTTGGAGCCTTGAACTCCTTGTAACTACCCTGGTTTTCCAGTGAAATGACCCCGTGAAGCCGTTAGTCTGAAATGGAAATAATGGTTTTGGTATTGCTCAGCAGCTGTTTGGGGTTTTTTTTTGTTAAACTAACATGTCTGCTTGCTTGTTGCCAGGCACTGGATGACCACAACTGAGCAATGTCTGTCCCACGTGGAGCTGTCCACGCGAAGTGGATAGTAGGGGAAGTAATCGGAACCAAAATGCAGAAAACTGCCAAAGTGCGAGTGACAAGACTTGTGCTAGATCCTTACTTACTAAAGGTAAAAGCTGGTGAACCGCTTGTTTATGTGGTAATTTTTGCCCTGGGGGAGGAGTTGATTTGACTCTTAGAATTTTTGGTCGTTGTTCACCATGCGAACTCCGTAAGGAACCTGCAGAACGATTTGGCTGTGGGGATGACGGCAAAGGATGAAAAGCAGTGTGTTGTGAGGACACTTCCTTACAAATCATCTGCTGAGTGTATTTCCTTGAGTTGCTTTGTTAATGCACTTCACTTGATCTCGATTGAGAAGGTAAGCTTTGCTTCACATCTAGATTTAATTGTTTGGTTTGATCCGGAGTGTGCTGCCTTCTGGGAACGCCATGACGCTGGTCACTTTTACGGTACATTCGGTAGCGGTTGTCTATATGCATTCTTGGTATTGGAATCTGTACCCTGATGTGCTCCGTGAGCTTTGTATTTATCACTTCATGCGGATGCATTTCACACAGGCAGGTTAAAATGCGTATTTTCTCCATTGTTAGACAGGGAAGCCATGGTGCACGTGAGTGGAATAACCCGACTCTGGCAACCAGGAGGTTACAAATAGTCAGGCTTAAGTAATGGGTCTTGTGCATCCCAGTCCAACACTTTGTCCAGTAGAAGAACCTGTTAATTTCTTTCTTAAAAGGGAGATCCTGAATTCTGCCGTTCCAAAAAGAATAAACATGGAATTTTTATATGAAAGAAAATTAATTGAGCAAGAAAACTATCAAAAGACAAGCTTCAAAACACTGATTTGAGGGCTGATGAACATCAGACATCCTGGGATGAGTAAGGATTGGTATCGGGTCTTGAAAGTGGACAGCACAGGAAAGTCGCTCAGCGTGGAAGAGCCAAGGCAGAGAAAGGCTAACACAGCAGAAGTGGAGAGCAGAGAGGCCGCTGGAGGTGGTGATGCCAGGAAAGGGGGTCTGTTAAGAGCTCTGTATTTTTGCCTGTACCCACTGTGAACAGCGTTCTGTACTTGGCTTTTTCTTCCCCGTCCCCTTTTCTACAGACTTGGCTGACGACAGCGTCCCAGCCAGAGAGATTGTCAGGGAAGGATCATGCTGCGCTTTCTTTGGGAAAGCCATAGAGTTGTGTTTCTCTTTGTGATCTGAACTGAATCTCTTTTTTTAAAAACAAGGCTTTACTTCTTAGTGAATTTGCATTTGGCTTATATTAACTATGTCTTTGCCAGTTGCTTAACCTTGAAGTCTAATGCCAAGGTTTCCTGTTGTCCTTCTACAGTTCTTTAACAAACGAAAAACCTATTTTGCCCATGACCCATTGCAGCAGTGTGTGGTTGGAGACATCGTCCTTCTGAAAGCCTTGCCTGAGCGAAGGAGCAAACACGTGAAACACGAACTGGCTGAAATTGTTTTCAAGGTTGGAAAGGTCATAGATCCAATCACAGGAAAGCCCTGTGCGGGAACCAGATTCCTTGAAAATCTGTCAGAGTCAGAGAATCTGACAGAGGCGGATACGACCTACCTAAGTGAAAAACTTCAGGAGCTTAAAGTTTGTTCCACAGACAAGTAGGGGGCAACCGTCAGGGATGCTTGGGGCCTGCTGCTGTATGTTAGATGTTTCGGTGACATCTGTAGTCAAAACAAATACTAAGAGCAGGTGTTGCAGACTTACAGGCACCTCAGATCTTGAAATGAAAACACAGTAAAAATGGGAGCTGAGGGTTAACATGTCATTTGTTGCATGTAGCTTTGCCCCAAATCCAAAAGTTTCCAAAGCCAAATGCTGACTTGGAATGACTCTTCTGTACTGAGAAAGAAAAGAACCGAACTGTGTAATGTGTAGTTTGGGGGGAGGGTCACTATTTTAGTCAGCCTGTATTTCAGGCAGTCTTTTGTGGTTTGTAGGGTTCATTAAGATAATGACATTAAACCTTCTGAAAGGAAGTAGAGAATTTTAAACCCAGCTACCTGCATGTGTCCTTATTTCCTCTTACAGTGGCTCATACCACACTGCAGTGTCTTGACAAAACCACAGCCCCTGGCCCTCAGAAAGACAGTAGAGCCCGAGGTCGCTCAGCACAGCCACCTTTGTAACCTGCCCAAAGGACGTGCTCGGTGCTGGGAGGTGGATCTCTGAACTGCCAGCAGGAGATGGCAGCTGATGAGAATACAAAGCCAAAAATGTAGAAGTAAAGGGGTTAGATGTAGTCTCATCAGAAAACCTACTTAGAACCACACATTTTGCGAGAGATGCCGGTACTGAAGTGCTGCGTACTCTAACATGAAGCTGGAAGGCTGTAGTGGTTAATAAAGGTCACTTGATCCTGCTCTGGGGCTCTCCCCTGCCTTCCAGCACGTAAAGCAAACTGCGAGTGTTCAGCCCTTGTGTCAGCCTCGTGCTGCTGACTTCCCCTTCAGATGTAGAGGGGCGTCTGCCTCAAAGCCCAGCGTCTGTGGGGGCAGCATTCCATGTCGCTGTATGGAGGGAGGAGTGGTATGTTAGAGCCATGAGAAACCCTGTGTCACTGGGCTTTGCTTCAGGTGAGAAGCTGGACAAGGTGTATCGGAACAGAGCTCCTCTGACCTAGAACATCTTCCTTCAGGGAGCAGAGCCGCTTTGTGCCAGCAAGCAGCCAGCTGTCTTCTCTCCCCCCTGGGAGTGGTGTAAATCGTTTGTTTTTAACTTCTTCACCTGCAGACTGCTAACAAAGTCCAGCTGGGCTCAGCTAATTATTTGGGCCAGGAAGAGTGGGAAATTTGAATTGTCTCCAGCACTTCAAGCCCCCAACCCTGCTTTCTGAGTGCTGGGCCCTGTGTACCGGCCGGTGTGTCGGCTCCGTGAGTTGGGATGTCAGGATGCCCTGATCAGACCTCCCTGTGTAAATCAGCGCTGGGAATGTGGCCTCTGGCTTTGAGGAAGTGCCTGAGCGTGGTTGTGGGTTGTTCTTGTCCGTGTGTCTGCTGAAGCGGTTTATGTGGACCCGCAGGCTGATCAGGGCCCTTGTTGACCAGGCAGGAAACCCGGGCTTTGGCTCTGCTCAGCGAGTGTGCGGTGTGGGACCATCCCTGGGAGACTGAGGGAAGCCCTGTGCCCTGGGGAACCCCCTGCACCCGCATCCCCGCGGCAGCGACCCTGACCCTCGGTGCTTTGTGGCCAGGGGCGTTCTAATAACGAGACACCGAGTGTCCATAAGGAAACTTTCCTCTGGTTCACGAGTTGCACCCGGCGGGGGAAGTGCATCTTCTTTCCCTCGTCTCACGCTGATTCGTCGCAGGGGTCGCCAGCTCGCAGGCAGGCTCGGGAGTTCGGGCCGGGATTAGCG